TCCTGTGTCTAACTGTGAGGCTATGGGGCTGGTCTGAAACACCCCACATGTCTGGCCAACTTTATACCAATATCCAATATTGTTATTTAAAAACATAATGATATGGCTACAAGTGGCCCAGGCGTACGATGTGAGAGACTGATCCTTTTTATTAGTTCCTTCATATTATCATTAGTGCATGGCCCTGCAACAAGGGTCAGAGGCTTAGAAGCCATCAGACTGAATTTTCTTTCCCATGCATTGTAATGACAGTATTCATTTCTGTGACTGACCTCACATACAAGAAATTTTCATTAGTTATGTAATGTAGCTGCAAATGAACTAATACAAACAACAGAGAGGGAGGGATGCCGCCTGGCTGCACTGAGTGCAAGGACAATGGCAAAGGGTAGAAACAATAAAGGGTTTGTAATTCATAACTTGCTGAATGTTGTTGTTAGTGTCGCTGCGTTAGCCCTGCTAGCTGCGACAGTTTATGCTTACAACCCTGCCCACCCTGTTTCCTGTCCAGCCTGCTTTTTTATCTCAGTGCACAAGTGAATTTCACCAGATAAAATCCCACAGCTTTAATCCATGCAAGCAAGGGACCAGCTGTGGTGACTCGTTGTCACACATCAACAGATGGAAAATCTACAAGATAAGCTCATGGTCCAACTGGGGCAGTACTGGGAAGGTGGAGATTCACCATCTGCTGCCTCTGTGCTGCTCAGTGCTTTAAAAGAGATCCTTGGCTCTTATTTCCCTTGAGCACTTCACCCATTTACATTACAGATTAACACTAATTTATTATTTTTTTAATTTAAATTATGTAAAACTTTTGGTCCCAGAACAATTACAGCAACACTCACCAGCAGTTTCATTCTCACTAAACTCCTCGTTTTGTATCCTATAAAGTTCCAACCCCACAAAATTAGAGGTATAAACGCTGAAGAAATAACAGTCTTCCCTCTGTCTAAGCTTCTGCCAACACTGCTCTGCACTCCAGAGTTTCCTCCGGCACAGAAATAGGTCCCATGATGAGGGATGTGCTGACCCTTGAGCACAAGCATCAGTCAGTCTTGTTATCTCGACCAGTGTAAGCCTCCTGAAGGAAAGTACTGAGCTGCTGGACTGAAAACCCAGTTACTGAAACACTTTTCTGCTGATCTGTTCCAACACTACAGATGCTATTTTTAACTTGATTTTGGACGTTTACAAAATTTGAAAAAACAAAGAGAAGACTGACAACACAGTAAGATGTAGGCTGTAAGTTGTAAGGCTGTTGGTGTAGGCTGCTAAGTTGGAAGTGCTCCATATTCTCACAGCCAGTGCAATCTTTATTTGTCAAACAGGACATGATGCAAGTTGGGGCCTGACAGATGCCACTTGAGCTGCATCTGCTTAATTCTATCATCACTTAAAAATAATGAGTAAAAATGTTTTTCATGTTTTTATTCATTTACTTTTTGTTTGTCTGAGCTTTTGCCAGAGCAGATGGACCGATGTGTTACACTGTGCTCCCAGGCAGGAGCCCTCCTCCTCCTGCAGTAATAGACAAATAGCAGTGTTTAGGTTTTATTTTTGCTGTTTATACCGTTATTCACACAGTGTCCCAGATTACGTTTGTGAGGAAAAAACTACAGCAAGAAGTTTCAAGTTAGAATTTTGCCTTTTCCTTTCTGATCAATTCCCTTATAACGTCAGTCTGAGTTTGGTCTCAAGTTATAATTTAGCCTTTTCCTTTCTGATCAAATCCCTTATAACGTCAGTCTGAGTTTGGTTTTCCATGGACTGTATCTTTAGTTCAGTGATAAAGTTAGTAGTAACACTGTAACCCAGTACTACTAGTCATGCCTGCTGCTTCAGTTCCACAATTATCTTCATTTGATTTAACAGGTCTGTTTATCCAAACACTAACTTTTTTTTCAGATATTTAAATTTTGCTGTCATGTCCCTGCCATTCATTTCCCATCCACCACCCAGACACTTGAGCCTCCACCTGTGTGCACACCTGCCTGTGATTAAACCATTAACCCACCTCAGCTCATATACACCTACTCAGTAACTCTAGTCCGTTCCAGGTTGTCTGGGTATGGCTCCTGGCAGTGCTGCCTGCTTTGCCCTGTTTCTATGTCACTACTGATTATCTACTTTCTGTGCTGATTCAGCCATTTCTTTCCCAGTACTGATTATAATGCTTGCATTCAAGGTGTCTGCTGATGTGAAGAAGCATTAGTTAAAGTGGTCACTTTATGGACAATACCTGATCTATGTCACAAGGTCTGTACCAGTACTGATTAGATATACTGCATATGGACCAAGTAAGGCCTTCTTTTATTCTGCTACTTCTGTCAGCTGAGTCTAAAAACACTAATAGAGGCCACTGGGTGGCAGCATATATGCCAGCAGTGCTACACAGACGTTTAATACAGGAAGCAAATAGACAAGTATGTGCTTGAACAAGTGGAATGTAGTTTTGATTCATGTCAGTAAGATTAGTTTTCAGTTAACATTAAAAACTTTAAAACTAAGTTCTGACTGAACATGTAACACCCAGTTTGTGTCAGTGTGCATTACACAGCACCGACACAGTGAGAAGATGTCAAACAAAAGCTTTCACAGATTGCCGAAGAATGATCAGAAGCAAAGCAACACCCTGCACTGTAACAGGCTGAGTGTGAAACCAAGCCCAAGGTCCAGCTGCAACATTATATCAAATATTTTAGAAACCTGCCCACCGGCTGGTTCTTGTGATCCTGGACAAGATCTTTGTGCCTCAGTGTAATTTAGTATCCGGCTACACCCAGTCTGAGCGGTTTACTTTAGCCTATGAATTTATTGTTATTTTTATGTTTCTGCTGTTTACCTAAACAAAATGTGTTATTTTGAGCCACTAGGGTTAAAACTGTCACCAAGGATGTCCATATGACTAAACACCAAAGGATGCACATTACCTGTGTCTGACAACACTAGACCATGTACAGTGTGTTTGGAGTGGTGTTCAGACGTTCACTGTGTAAATCCATCCGTTATATAGTGATGTTTTAAATTCCACGACGAGACTAATAAGTAGTATCTCTGTCATGTACACAACGTTCTGCTAACAATACCAGAATTCAGTGCTCCACATTTTGCACATAATAACGTTACTGTTGAACGGCTGTATAGCTGTTATTGATGACCAGTAAGTGTCTGAAATCTCAGTGTAATGTTCACGATTCAGTGAACTACTGAATATACATTATACAGGAGGTAGTGACTGAATAAGTCATTTTGGACACAGCCATTAACCAACAGTGACATGAGCACATTATAACAGCTCATAAATACACCATAGTTTAGTCTGAGTAAATAACCAAACAGTAGGTACTGGATGAACGTAACCAGTGTTCCATTGGTGCGATGTTGCCCCGATTGACTTAATGTTCTTCTACTTTCCAAAGAAAATGTCCAAATTTTTAAATCTGATCTGTTGCAGCTCTGCATCCAGTCATAGCATGTACCTGTTAATGTCATTTGACGTTTTTTAGAAGTGGTAGGGTAGATTTTATCACATGATCGAGAGCAATGTGTGCATAACTACTTGTATAGTCAACATCAGCAATGATATTGTCCCTGACTCAAACACTAACAATGCAGCAACCAGCCACACAGCCAGGCCAGAGAGAGAGAGAGAGAGAGAGAGAGAGAGAGAGATGCAAGCTGTGGAAACTGGAGCTCAAGAAAATACAGAGGAAAAGAGATATGGGAGAAAAGCAGAAGATATGGATATAGGACTGGAGGAGGTGAGAGAGACGAACAAGGAGAAAACAAGATTCAAAGAATATGGAGGGGAGGATGAAAAAAGCAACAGAGAGGTGGGGAGAGAATGAGAGAAGGAAACAGAGAGATCAAAAGGTGTGAACGAGAGGTCCAGACTGACTGATGCTGTCAACCAGGCTCGATTTGTCTGTTTGTCCCTCAGCAGCAGCGACGGAGCTGAAAAACAGAACAAGACTGACATCTAGTGGAAGGAGAACTGACAGCAGCTGCACTGGTTTCATCCATCCATCAGTTCATTATGGGGGGAGGGGCCATCCCAATTGACACTGGGCGAGAGGTGGGAGGAAGCTGGAGCACCCAGAGAGAACCCACGCAGGCACAGGGGGAACATGTAGACTCCACACAGAAAGGTGCCACTGTGCTGTCCCTCGTTTATAACCCATCATCCTTTTTTAACAGATGTGTTATTTCTTGTTTTAATTTGGATTAAATAAACTGGAAAAACACAGCTCCAACCAGCTCTATCAAGCCAGACCTTATTTAAATCTGGGAGACTCACAAGAGACAGATTACAAATGGATGGCCACAATCAACGCAGCAGAAACATCCTGACTTTTAGCCACAAAACTGAGTGATACACATCTGTTGACATGTTCCTCTTTAGTACAAAATGTGTCTCAGCCACTTGTCTCGTACAGTCAATACACTAAGGTTCCTCCGACTGGTTTAGCCATAAGGCAAAAACTCAAATGCTCTTATACATATATTTACAGATGCATTTACATCAGGTCTTCTTGTGTTTAAGATCTTTAACCCAAATTTTCAGCATCAAGACTCCTAATATATCTTTATTGATACAAACAAACACAACAAATCTGGTAAATACAAAGAATCACCTGTAACATACAATTTAAATCACACTGTGTATTCACCCTTAGCAGCAGTTCAAACAGCTAACGTCACATTTTGTGTGACTGACTTATTACTTAAATATTGCTAATTGGATGTGAGATGTTTTCACTTCCAGTTTCAAGCAGTTATTCATCTTTTGTCTTGACTAAAGGGAGTGAAACAGTGAATGGTCTCCTCCCAAATCTTGTCACCTATATTGCCTTGGAGGTTCATTTGGCTGACTTTTAAATCTTTATCATTTGTCCTGGTTTTCTTTGCTTAAAATACATAATCTATTCAAAAATGTCAAGTTAACAATTGTCTTAAAAAGTTTTGTCCCCTGAAAAGTCTTATTTTTTGTCTTTAGTTCAGCAGCAAACGTCAAAATTTAGATAGTGTGTGTCCAAAAAGCACAGTCACACATCCCTGACACTAGACAGGCAGGTGCGTTTCTCTCTCGTTTGAACAGTCAAATCATGGTTGTCAGATCAGTGTGGGTTGTTTCAGCAGCAGTCACTGGCCTCCTGTGTCTGTTTGTCCCCTCCCAGCCACAGAGGGGCACTGTTGATCTTGGCATTCTGAGCCTTGACCTGTGTCAACTCGCCCCCTCCATCGCTGGCCAGGCGCTTGTGGATCTCAGAGGCCATGGTAAGAAAAGCCCTCTCCACATTGTCAGAGCTCTTAGCACTCGTCTCCAGGAAGGGGATTTTAAGAGACGAGGCCAGGTCCTGAAGAGAGAAAAGGGGGGTGGGAGAAAAGAAAGCAGGAAGTGGACACAATGACTGAATGCTGGTAAGAAATCACAACAGTGACATAGTCTCTCCATCTCTGACAGTTTTGTTTTCTGCTGAACTACAGCCTCACAGCTGCTGAATAGTATTTGAAGGTAGCAGCATAGCAGCCTGCAGTGTGTGGGGCCTGTTACCTGAGCAGTGGCAACGTCCACCACTTTCTTACTAACGAGGTCAGACTTGTTTCCCACCAGCAGCCTGGAGATATTTTCACAGGCATAGCGATCGATCTCATCCAGCCACTGCCTCACATTGTTAAAGGACTCCTGAGGAGTGAAGAGAAGTTAATGTTCAGACTCTCTTATTATGTCACTGATGATGTGAAATAAACACACACTGACCTGCTCAGTGACGTCATACACAATTATGATGCCATGAGCTCCTCTGTAATAGCTGGAGGTGATGGTTCGAAACCTCTCCTGACCTGCTGTGTCCCACTGAAAAGAACACACACAGAGTAAGATGAAGTTCCAGTCAGTCCAGACTCTGCAGACACACTGAGCCAACATGACACTTTGGAAAAGTATATTCCAGTTCTTCAGCTTTTAGCGCCCCACTGACTATCTCTGACAAACAGTCTCTTACAATCTGTAGTTTCACTGTCTTCCCGTCCAGGTCGATGGTCCTGATCTTGAAGTCAACTCCGATGGTGGAGATGTAGCTCTCAGTGTAGGTGTCATCCTGGAGAGCAGCGAGGGACATACGATCAACGACAAGAAGCTAAGTGTTTAAAATAAATGGTGTTCGTGTGTGTGTGTGTGTGTGTGTGTGTGTGTGTTTTATGATCCTACCGCAAAGCGTAGCAGCAGACATGACTTTCCGACTCCAGAGTCACCAATCAGAAGAAGTTTAAACAGGTAGTCACTGGAGGACACACACACACACATAGATGTACAGACATGTAAAAACACTTCTGATCACATACTATTAGAATCAGAATCAGAATCAGAATCTGCTTTATTTGGCCAGGTGTGTCGGACACACGAGGAATTTGACTCTGGTACATCTCATCTGACTCTCAATGTGTATGTACATATGTACATACTATATATTAGTATGGTAGATATGTGTAAAAATAAAGAAGTGACTACCAAGAAGCTCCCATGTTCACCTTGTTTGATCCATGTACTACACTGTATTTGCAGTTGTCATGTTTGTTCTAAAGCCAACTCGTGACTTTTTAACAGTAAAAACACAAACCAGTGTTGGAGATGTAAACAAGCTTCCTGGTCCGTCTTTTATATTGTCCATATTGTAGAATGTACCAATAAGTTTATTTTTATATTGTTTGTAACATCTTGTATTTGTTTTACTTTCATAAAGATGATGTTATTCTAATGTGTGCGCTGTTTTTGAAAGTAACAGAACTGAGCACAGTTGTCATGTTGGTTTGGAAGCAACAAGCTCTAAGGACTACAATACCCATCAGCCACAGGGGCCTAGTGATCCGACCGCAAGTAGCTGTGAATTATCCAAAGTGAAAATTAAATGCGTTTTCTCTTCTGGAACTCTGAACTTCATTTCACAGCTCCATAAACTATAAGATCATCCCATTTCTACTTAACAATTTATAAGCAAACCAACATAGTGTATTTATTTCCAAATATAGGATGAGCCAAAACATCTACACACAAGATTAGCTAGTGTATGAGCACTAAAACATCACCATCAACCCTGAACAGTGTATATACAGGTCTGACATACAATAATGAGTAGTTGGAAAACAAAGAGTCAAAGACACAAGGCTCCAGGACGTTACGAGGCCTTTAGTGCCTGCAGTCACTGGTAGACTGTCAGTGTCATTGGCAGTATGTGTCTGAATACATACACAGCAACACAGCATACAGACAAAAACTTACTATTCAGGATTCATGATTAAAGTTGCTCCAGGTGACACAGCAAAATCCTAAAACCCTGAGAATGAATCCTGAACCTGGAAAGAGTCAGAGTATCACCAGTGGTGTTGTGTGCTGTTCTGTTGTTCCTGTGTGTGTTTGTTTGTATCTGTCCTTTGGAGGGCAAATAACAGAATACACTGGTGCTACCTACCTCAAGAGCTGACTGGTCCAGGTGCATTATTTATTAATACAGAGCAGCTCAGGTTACACTGGAGACAGCAACCGGCACAAGACATAATTGCGCATACACAAACACAGGCTGCACCTAATTTCTGTTCTGCCTTCATTTTGGTGACATATTTATTATCTCTCACTAATGTTGGGACGCCACACGACTTCTGCTCTTCACTGAAACCACTGCAGACTGACAGCAGCTCGGACACTCCCAGACTCCCAGACTCCCAGAGGAGGTGTATGTGAGATTGCACATGTCTGACTCGACTGGCCTGAACGTTATGTGGACCTTACCCTGTCAGTTTGAACTTTGTGTAATGATTGAGCCATTGTGTGAATAGAGCAGGTTATTGTCCAGTAGTTTTTTTATTACTTATAACTCTATAATGGGGAGTTGGAGCTAGTCCCAGCTGATACTGGGTCCACCCTGGACAAGTCACCATTCTACCACCGGGCTGACACTTAAGGACAGACATTCACACATGCTCACATTCACTCCTAGGGGCAATTTAGAGTCGTCAGTCAAGTTTGGGCTGTGGGAGGAAGCCGGAGCACACAGAAAGGCCTCGGGTTGGCCCAGGCTCAAACCCAGAACCTTTTTGCTGTGAGGTGACAGTGCTAACCACCACCACACATATACTCTACACACACACACACACACACACACACACACACACAAACATAAACCTTCACACAGTCCAGCCTACACACATACAATCTTTCTGTCACAAACACAACAACACTTAAGTACAGACTCACTGGAAATGGCTGATTATTCCTCTAATGACTTCTGGATTCTGGTGTTCATATGATCACTGCAATTTAATAAAATAATGGAGCTGTTTAATGTAACTGTCTGCTGAACAGAGAGAGGGGCGGGAGCTGGAGCCAGTCAGCTGAGTGTCTCACATAACAGAATATTTATCCATTAATCTTCCATTTACCTTTGATTTTCAATTTAGTGTTGCTGGGCTGTAACAAAGTGACATGAATAAAAATCTACAAAACACAGTGAAAATTATAATGTTGGTCCAAACTAGTGTCAGACAACTTTAAGCCAAAAGTATTGATAGTGTAATTTTGATTATAAACAGGTATTAGTCGAATGGCCACACTAACGCAGGCACGTTTCTAAGCTTCTAATCAACATTTGATCTGTTTCTGTGAATTCTGGCTTTGTTGTACCCACCTGTTCATCATACCTGCTCTACAAAGTTGTAAACAGAAAACAGTTTAATGGCAACCAGCTACTTGTGATACAAACTCCAGGGTCACCCAACAGTGAAACAAAATGAAACTACACTTGTTTATTTAATATGTGTGTGTTTTCATTTTAGCATTCGGGCAGAAAACACTACAATGCACCTTTGGCATGTAGATTTTTTTTCCTCTCCTACTTCCTCTCCTCTCCTGTTTGTGTGTGCATTCATCCTCCTTCTTAAGAAACAGAGGATAAAGTGAAAGCGATGCAGTTTTATTCACTGCTGTTTTCCATGTGTGACCCCTTGGTCACGGGAGTGAGCTGAGAGCAGGGGATTGTGGGATATGCAATGGCTGAGCAGCTGTGATGGGGTCAGGGGTCAGCAGCCCTGACGACGGCCTGTTGCCGGGGCAGAGGCGGGCTGCGATGGTTGCTTGGTTGCGGTGGAGCGTGGAGGTGGGAAAACTGGGGGAAGGGACCGAGAGAAAGAGAAGAAATAAAGAGAAGAGAAAGAAATGAACAAAAAGGGAGGGTTAGAAAGCAAGACGAAGGGTGGGAAAATGAGAAACAAAAGGAAAGAAAATAATACTAATTATATTCTGTGTTAAAGTTTACAGCCAGATAGATGGAGAAAAGAAATACAGAATTTCCTTTACACTGAAAATGAAATGCAAGCTTTGGATCTTCTTACTCTGTGGAAGCTGGTCTTCATACGTCACAATCATCGATAAGAACAAAATGGTTTATGAAAGAATCTAGAAATCTTAACATGTTTAACTGCTGTCTTCAGGGAACATTGAGGAAAATAAAAGAAGAAGATGACCTGAATCCTAAACCTGAAATTAAAAGTGAATTAAACAATTCTAATAAAATTAGAATTAGTGAATTAATGTTGGTGAGCATATAACTAAAAGAACTGTGATGACATCTATTCCTCTGGTTAATGGGAGTCACACAGTGGAGTGAGTTTCATGTCAGTATCACCAGATGTGCACATGTTTACATCCATATTCGGTGAACGTCACTGGACTTACAGCCCTGCACTGCACCTCAGATTTAGGACAACACAAGGCAACACACAGACTGTCCAGCTGCTCATGTCTCTCTGCTGAAGGCAACAAGTCAGCAAACAAACAGGAAGTGGAGATGTCTATGGAGCAGGCCTGCGATGTTCTATATAATTACTTTATATAGATATGACTGCACAGTAGCATCAGGGTCATTTTAACCACATCTAGTTTTCCCAAGGAAAATTCAGTCCCTGCATCAGACAGCCTTATTTATATACATATGCACCTCACACCTGGTGCCAAAACTGGGAATCCACCATTATTTTCTTAATGGCAAACTCAGTAGCTACTTGTCAGTTTGGGGCACTTTACAGAAAGTAACAGTAAGATAAAGTAACAAAGTAAAGTAACTCCTCTCTATGATGCACCACTTTACTTAAGGGATCCAATGCTGTAGACCTGTGCAGCTCAACAGAGAAGCCAGAATTAATCAGGAAGAACTCACGTGGTCCGTGTGCACATGTATCTGACAACTAATGGCCACAAACTGTTTTACTAGTATCAGTTTGTGACGTAGACAAACGTGTCTCTAGTGTGAAAGCGTGTATGTGTGTCTCAGACAGACTGAAGAGTGTGACTCAGGTTACATATAAACCCCCGAGTGTGTGGGTGTGTGCAGGTCAGTGGAGTTAAACCAGTCATTGTTCCTGTCAGTGTGTGTCCCAGGAGACCAGAGGGAGCATGGATAAATAGGTGCTTTTCACTATTCACCCTGATTGCACCACACTCCCTGGCTCCTGGATGTGTGTTTGTTTGTCAGCCTGTGTGCGTCTAGGTGTCTCTGAAAACACTCTGCAAGAGTGGGTGTTAAAGATTATAGTTGGAAATAATATTTGGGAATCTCAATAAAATCTTGGCCAGTTTAAAGGTCAAATCTAATGCCTAAAAACTGAAGCTAAAAGAGAAGAAGGTTTTAACTAAAAACATAATTACAGTGGATATAGGTAATAGATAAGAAAACTAACATGAAAATAAATGTTAGCATTGTGTGTGTGTGTGTGTGTGTGTGTGCATTCATCTCTGCTGTCTGTGTATATGCACACTTGTTACTATAGGCTGAATATTTACATGGAGTAATTTGATACTTTGCTCTTTTCTTTTGTGCATTGTGTCTGTACTTGCTACATAGTGAGGACATTTTTGGAAAGTGAGGACATTTTCACTGGTCCTTGCTTTTTTGAGCATTAAGACTTGGTTTTAGGGTTAAGGGTAGGGGAAGGGTTAGGCATTTAGTTTTGATGGCTAAGGTTAAGGCTGGGGCAGTGCATTATGTCAGTGTGTGTCCTCACAAAGATAGAAGTACAAGTGCATGTGTGTGCACATACAGAGATGGCCCCAAGGCCAACTGGGCAGCAGATCATTAACCTTGTTGAAAATGGGTGTTGAATGAAGGCCTTTTTGTTGATAGAGAGAAAGAGATGACAAGAACAAGAACTGAATATTGTGGATCCCAGGCTGCTGGCAATTATGTTGATATTCTACTAATTTCTTACACTATTCTATCCACGATTCTGTCCAATGTGTACAGTCGACGTATCTTCCCAACCTTTACTGACACATCATTTCATTTATGCAATATCCACTTGTAGTGATGCTACATGACAGATGTGGAAAATGTAAACACTGTGGTTAATGAAACTTGGTTCGATACTGATAAAGTTCACAGTGTCATGAACTATGTGGCAGCATGTTTATTGTAATAACTTTTAAATGAAACCAGGATCTTCATCTAAACCAAAGCCTAAATTGTAAGAGGACAGGGACACAAAGCATCTACATTATTTGATTATTCAGTACAAAAAGAGACAGTCCTCTTTTTCACTGAACAATAAACAAACTAAAGAAGATTTGATGAACATTGTGGAGGTGGAAACTGTCAACTTGATGTTAAAACCTCTGCTTTACAATTTAACATGTTAAATTTTGTCAGATGTTGATTCCAAGTACTAAAATGCACTTCCTCATGTCTTTTCCACAGTAAAAATAAATAAATAAATAAATAAACCCTTCATCAATGTAGGAAACATTCAGTATTTACATTAATTTGAGTTTAGAAGAGTTATATTATCAGGGATGCAGGACTTTCCCTTCACAAAGAGATATTTTTTCTTTAGAGGATTTTCTGGGATTTTTTTCCCCGTGTTTGGAATTTCCAGTTTCTCATATGCCTACCCTACCCTACCCAGTTTCTCATATGCCTACCCTACCCTACCCAGTTTCTCATATGCACTGCAGTCTTTGTCTAAACACTGAGTCTGTAGTGTACATGGGAGAAAAGCAACACAACAGAGAGAAGCTCTCTTTGCATCTAAATTAACAGTAGAAAGTTAAAATACGAGTGCTGTCCTCAGTTAATGTTGTTAGTGTCCAAATAAGGACAAAACACATGATGTATGTTTGTTTCCCCACCTTCCTTCTAGATGTCCCCAGCTACCCAGGAGGAGCAGTGACAGACAAGTGACAAATAAAAAGGAAAAGCCTGACTGGTAACTGATAACCAGTGATGGTGATGGCTGAGTGGTCTCCTCTAGGATGACAGAGTCCCCCTGTCCTCAGGACACCAGGGGTCACTGACTGGTCTGATGAGGATGACCATGATGTGAACCAGATGCTGTGGCCTTCCCAGTCACCAGGTCTCAGCCCAGTTGAACAGCTATGGGAGATGTTGGAGCGACGTGTTAGACAGCGTCTCCACAAACGTGGAGCTGTCTCATGTGCTGTCTGTCTGTGCAGGGCTTTACTTCCTCTTACCTCATGTCGTTACTTTCTCCATATATATATATGTTTCTTTCTGTCTTTAGACATTTGTCTTTTGTCTTGTACCTCCTCTCTTTCTGTCTCTTGGTGAACATAACCCCATCCTCGCCCTCTGCCTCTCTCCAGTGACAGGTGGTCCTCCACTTTCCCGCCAACAGACCAGCTGTCCATACTAACTAGAGGCATTTGAGAAGTGTGTGTGTTCTTGTATTTGCTATATAGTGAGGACCAAAAACTTTTTGTTTTTGCTACAAAGTGAGGACATTTTTGGAAAGTGGGGACATTTTAGTCTGTCCTCACTTTCTGAAACAGCTTTTTGAACGTTAAGACCCAGTTTTAAAGTTCAGGTTAGAATTGGGTTTAGTGTTTAGTGTTAGGTGTTAGGGGCTAGGGAATCCATTATGTCAGCGTGTGTCCTCACAGAGATAGAAGTACAAGTGGGTGTTTTTATATAACAGGCAGCACCTTTCTGTCAGTTCCC